GAAAAAGAAAATAACAAAACTGGGAAAACCACTTTAAGATAAGAATAATTAGTTAACTTGTATACATAAATTAAAAGAAAGTTGTATGTATGGATTTAGAGAATATAAGAAGCTTGATAACCACAAAAAGAGCCTTTGAAGAAAAATGTGTCCAATTGCAAGTGGTAATTTTAATTTTGCATCGGCCATCTATTTTTGCTAAACTAGCTAGTGTATAGTTGTGTGTATAAAAAAGGATATAATAATTATTATAATGTCATTGTGTATATTTAAATTAAAATTAAGGCAAAATTTATATTTATACTTAATAATAATTAATATACTTAGAATATTAAACAATAAAATTGTAATTGATCTACAAGATAAACAACAATTAGAAAGAAATATTTATTATTAAGACTTTAAAATTAAGAAAAATATTTTGAGAAAAGAATAAACGGACTAAACATTTAAGATAAAACATGTAACATTGTATATTTGTGTTAAAAATTGTTGACTTGATGTTTTTGAGAGACTATGAAAATTTAGGAATTCTCATGAGTTAAGGCATTTAAGGAGTTTCTTTAGGTAGAGGTCTAATTTGCTCTTGAGGGAAAGGTATGTAAAGTTTCTTTTAATAATTGAATTTTATTAGTTTATTCTTAAGAATCCTAGAGAAATAGGTTAGAGTGAGATACTTTATAATTGAAGGTCACTTTTCTTCCTTCTAATTCCATAATGGACCTCTAAGTCCTTCCTTGGAGATCTTGAGTTGGTGTGTAGTGATTCAAAATTTGTACAGCTAAGAATCAGAGCTTTTAGAGAATCGTGCGAAGTTCTCGGAAAAACTTGTTTCTTTTTCCTTCTTCCTCTCTTCCTCTTGGATTTTGAGGTAAGGGGAGCTAAGAATGATTTATTGTTGATTAGTTGAGTTGTAAGTGTCTTGAATTCTTTAGATTCATAGTTGTGTTGATGAATATGAAGGTGGAGATTATTTGTAGTGCATTTTGGAAGCTTTGGTATTCTTGTGGTGTAGTTGAGATGGAATGCATGATTTGATCTAATTTTTTTTATTATGATTTGATCTCATTTGTTGCAATGCATGATGGATTTCCTAATTTTCATGTGAAAGGAGAGCCAATTCATGAATATGCTATATGTAGATTTCACTATTGCGCTGGGCGTGACTCAAATTAGGGGTTCTTTATCTCACTCGGCCTAGGCATGAGTTGAATGGCGTTGGGCATGAGGTGAAAAAAGGGAGAATTGTCTTTGACTTGGTCACATTCAATGCGAGTTGAATGGTGTTGGGCATAAGATTATGGGAGAATTACATCTAAATTAGTGATGCTAGACCCTAGAGCGTGGAGAGCCTATCGAAACCAAGGTAGAGCTCTTTGCTTGAGTGATGTCAGGTGCTAAAGGTGTGATGTCGAACACGAGAATATAGATTTTTCTCTGTCTAAATTGGGGTTGAACTTGGGTTTAGACACACTAGATGTGATTGTCCTAAGGGATCTTTGATCTCTTCCATGCCAAGCGTAGGTTTAATGGCATTAGACATGGACGAGACAAAGAACTCTCTATCTCAATGGTGTCAAGCGCTAGGTGTATGGTGTCGGGTGTGGATTTCCTTATGAAAACTTGTGTGTTTAATAAAAAGTGAACATGGATAGGTTATGTGAATCTATTGCATGTTGTATGTTGATTAAAGTTGTAAGTTTTATATTCATTGATATGGGATAATACATATAGATGAATAATTGTTGAATTATTAAAGTGTTGATAGAGAATGTTTTAAGCATTTAGACATGTTGTGTTGATTAACTATTGAATAGTGAGGTGATGATGCTTAGAGTGCTCAAGGCATTTAAGCATTATGGTGTGCAATGTTGATCAATTTAGGACTAAAGGAGACAATGTTTTCAAAAGTTGAAATATTCTATTGTGATGATATCGGTGTGGTGCCCTACTAGCCCAAGTTGTTGAAAACTCTTCTTAAGTAATTGATTAGTGGATAGTTGAGTCTCATTTAGGACTTTAGTTGATGCGGTATGTAGATCAGGTCGAGCTATACTAATTACAAAGTGACCAATGTTGATCCGTATATGGGTAAGATTGAGTAGAAGGGCGTAGTATTTGGAGAAATATAGTCGATGGGTTAATCTCATAGGGGACTTAGTGTTGCAAGCTAATGTTGGGGTAAATTTATCCAAAATTTTCTATCCTGACAAGAATATTAGACTTCTTAGTTTAAGTGACAACATTCAAAAATCATGTTGTTGTAAATTTTTATCCAAATTGACTGTTGATCTAGTTGTTTCGAAAAGATCGCGTTGTTGATTTGGTAAGGTCAAGTCACTCAGACTACTTACCTTTATTGTATAAGATTTCCTAATTAAAATGCGTGACGACACATGTAGTTGATTTATTGTATATATGTGGTTGATTTGTTATTGAGTGGTTTGATACATATGCCATGTTGTAGTGTTGTTCAAGTTGAACAATAAGTTGTGCATTAATTGAGGTGTTGACTTTTATGTTGTTCACATGTTATTTAAATGGTGTTGAGTTGTATTATTATAGTCACTATTTGGGGTTATTTTTGTTGAATTAAGAGTTGATACGTGGATGAGGCTGAGGTAATAGAGCTAGTAATGTATTATGCATTAGTTCTTATTGTGGTGAAAAAATAAATACCAGAAGGGATTAAATATTGTGTATCAAAAACTCATATTTTTTTTAGTGAAATAGTAACGTTAGTCAGATGAAATACGAAGAGAAGTCAAACGAAACACTAGGTATTTTTATACTAATTCGTCTCAACCACCAAGATTACGTTCAGTTCTCAGTCCAACTAAATTAAGTTCCATTATCTTTCAATAAAGATATAAGTATTCTTTAAACAAATTACTTCTAGTGTAATCCTAAGTATTCTTTTCACAACAAATCTCTATAGACTTTACAACTAAGTATTCTTTTCAAACAGACCCCTCTAGATTTAATAAAGTATTGTCTTATAGACAAGTCTCTCTAGGTTCAACCTTATAACAATGGTTATGAAAGTTATAGGGATGTTGTGTTTATCTCACCTATACATTATACAACCAATATATAGCACTAAACTTTTCGCAAGAAAGAATGAAACTTATACACAAATATGATTTGCAAAAAGTGTTTCTTTGTGTATGTTTCTGTACAAATGTCTCGTGTCATTCTTGAGTTTCAAATATTCTTATCTAATAGTTTTGGAGAGGATGACCGTTACAACACTTTGAGTCCAATTTACAAGTTTACTTTGTCTATCTTCAACGTGCTTCCTTATAATGAGAGGTAACCGTTGACTCATTTAATGTAAGATGCATTTCACAAAATAGTACGTCTTATTTGATCAAGAAAGTTACTTATTAACTTTTCAAATTAAACGAAGCTTGTAGAAATAATGCCAATGCAAAGCAACAACAACACTTTTATCAACTTTCCCTTGGATTTCAAGGATTTTTGTCTTTGGTTCTAACAAAAAACATGATCTTGTTTTTTTTAACAAATTTGTGAGTTTTTAGATAATTTTCTAGTTCAATGTATTAATGAATCAAGCATTCAAATGAATTTTGTCATTAATTTTAATAAATAATAAACATTTAATATATACGAGACAAATTATATGTTTTATCTTATTCACATCGTCTTACAAACCATCTAGATCTTGCTTTTTGTCTGATAAACATATTTGAAAATATTTTTTCTTGTAAAATTTTTTCGTTTGTTATTAAAATTCCAAAATTTGAGAGATCTAAGATCCATTTTTCACTTAACACCTATTTTTTATGTTTGCTTATTTCTCCAATGAATCTATTTGATGAAAATTTCTTGATGAATTAAGAGTAATTGGACTTTTTTTGTTTTTTTCCTCTGGTCATTGTAGAAATTTGTGGATAAGAGATGAATAAATGAGTCAGATAAATTTAGATGATCACCAAACCATCTGGATCTGCACGAGGAAGACAACCATTTTCAAAATTCATCAGCAGAACATGTCAAATGACAGAAAGAAAATAATTAGACACAGGCAGTGATTTAGAACATCAGCATCTATAAGCATGTGATGTGTGGTAGAAGTACGTAGATGAAAAAAATTGAGAGTTCTAAGGATAATAGTAATACCGTTCATCCAGTTTCAGGTACTTTGTACATGAATGAATTGATGATGTGGGGGATGCATTGGTTTTCATGATGATAACACCAAAGTTATTGGAAGGTCAACAAGAACCACATGGCTAATGGCTAGTATTGACTTTGATCATGGATGATTTGTGCTATTATTTTGCATGGAGTGGATCTTTATTCAGTTTGTGGGTGGAGTGTCACAGATCTAAAATGAATCAGGGAGAAAAAACTACTTGGTACTTAAATACGGAAAAAACTTAAGTGTAGTACTTAGTTGTTTATGCATGTTCAATTATAATTAATAACTATTGTAAACTAAATCATGTAACTAAAATAAAATTTATTTTAAGTAGAGAACATGTGAATAAGTTTCATTCTTTAAATACTCACCAGCTTCATCATTGCAACTCAAATTTATATTAAATTTATTTGCACACTAGAGGTGTTATAGATAAGATTTTTACAAAATTTAATGTAATCAATAAGTAGATCGGTCAATTGATCTATTTTTTTTATAAAGTGGATCAATTAAGATTTTTAAAAATATGAATCAAATTTTTTAGAATTGAATTGGTTCTTATATAATTGTGTGATTATCTACTTTTTATTATATATGAATTGATTTTTTTGAAAAATCAAACTTATTCACTTTAAAAAAAAAAAAATAAATTAACTAAACCGATTTTATAGATCAGTTCGAATTGGCATAGACTATTGACTAAGAAGGTCAAGTCATCAATAAATATAATTTCCAGCTGCAATATTCTCAAAGTTGGTGTATATTTAAATCCTAATAGGTTATGGATTTTTCTGCACGATTCATTTTATATCTGTGGCTTTTTTCTTTTCCACAAGTGAAAGATCCATTTTGTGCATAATTGCATGTACAGGCATTAGCCCTTGATCAAACCAAGCCACTATTCATCTGGTTTTCGTTGACGAACTTCCCATAACCTTGGTTCTATCATCATGGAGATCAATGAAAATGCATCCTCAGACAACATGAACTTTATCAAGTATAAGGTACCTAAGAAACAGCCTTATAGAACTTGGTACCACTTTCAATCCCCACAAAATTGGATGAACGGTATAACTTACCCTCAACAATTATTTATTTATTTTTATATCGAAAAATCCTAGTATTTCTCAATTTAGTTTTAGCATATATGCTTGTGTCTATTTCAGTGTGCTCATGTCTAATTCTTTTCTCTTGGTCATTTGACATTTTTTGTTGTCACAAATTGGAAATGGACAAATGGTTCCTTTCATCATGCAGATCCAAATGGTATGTTCATGAATTTCTCGGACTTCTAGTTATTTATTTAGTTCATATTCAAATAAACTTCTCAGTAAATATTTATAAAAAAGAAAATAGAATGATAAATTGAGTTGAGTTTTTATGTTAAACTCAACTTATCTACTTCAACTTATACAAAAGCTCTTTTAGTTAACTTCTCCAAAGCTTGAGTTTAACTTATTCACAAGTTAATTTTAGCTTATGAGATAACTCACCTTATTTTGTTCTTCTATAAACATTAAAAAAATTATCCCAAGAGAGCATTACCTATTTTCCACAGCATCATAGTATGAAAAAAAATAAAAACTAAAACAAGAATTCCTGTTATTTTACTTTTCACATGAAATTTGTTCATACACTACTACTAGTCCATTTGTCAACGTTTAATTCAATGAAATCATTGAGATGACATCCAAAAGTTACCATGATCAAATGACAAGTGTTGATTTACACGTGGCAGCACCTATGTACTACAAAGGAGTTTACCACTTTTTCTACCAACATAACCCTCATGCAGCAACCTTTGGTGATAAAATGGTGTGGGCTCACTCGGTGTCCTATGATCTCATCAATTGGATTCATCTAAATCATGCCATTGAACCAAGTGAGCCCTATGACATCAACAGCTGCTGGTCAGGGTCAGCCACTATACTCCCAGGTAAAGAGCAACCTCTTATTTTGTACACAGGAATTGATAATAATAAGCATCAAGTTCAGAACTTAGCCATGCCAAAGAATCCCTCAGACCCCTTCTTAAGGGAATGGGTGAAACACCCACAGAACCCTGTCATGACTCCACCAAGTGGAGTTGAAGTGAATAATTTCAGAGACCCTTCAACTGCTTCGCAGGGAAAAGATGGAAAATGGAGAGTAGTCATTGGTGCTCAAAATGGTGATGAAGGGAAAGTAGTTCTTTATCTAAGTGAGGATTTTGTTAATTGGACTCAGGATCCTAATCCCTTTTATGCAACAGATAATACAGGTGTTTGTGAGTGTCCAGACTTTTTTCCTGTGTACTTCAATGGAAGCACAAATGGTGTGGATACATCTTTGCATGATCCAAGTGTTAGACAAGTCTTTAAGATAAGCTATCTTTGCAGACACGAGGACTATTATTTTCTTGGTAAATATGTTTGTGATGAGGGGAACTTTATCCCTGATGTTAAGTTCACAGGAACTAGTTTGGACTTAAGGTTGGACTATGGTAAATTTTATGCCTCAAAGTCATTTTTTGATCATGCTAAGAATAGGAGGATATTATGGAGGTGGGTGAATGAGTGTGACACTACACAAGATGACATTGAGAAAGGATGGGCTGGTTTACAGGTACTTATTTTAGCTCCATGTTGGGCATTAACTTTTGCTTTAAATTTGGAGGAGGAGTCAATTATAAATGAAGATACAAGTGAAGAACACAAAGATGCATGTCTTCAAAAGAAAGTTGATGATCAAGAGGAGAATGAAGATGATGAAAAATCACCTTCAAAAGAGAAGTTCGAGACAAATGTTAAAGTGGTCCCACTCAAGAAGAATTACAACAAAATCACAAAAAGAAGAAACCAATCAAAAAGAGAAAAGGCAGATTTTGAAACTCAAATTAGGTGATAAAGATATTCAGTCAAGGAGGAACGTGCCAATTGTTGGGATTCAAACAAGTCTCACATCGATAAAATAATACAACAAATAACAACTTATATAATACAAACATACTTCAATGATTGAGAGGCCTTTTGGGTGATGACCAAAAGCAAAACCGTGAGGGCTAAGGCCCAAAACGGACAATATCTCATAATTGTGGAGTATGTTTGTGTAATAACCTTATAAAAATATTTCATAAAATATCCTCTCAGACAAATACCATAAAAATAACTCCATCAATAATGATATATTCATATCATAGTGATCATGTTGAATTGATTATTGATATTGGTCCATGTAGTGTATTCCAAGACAAGTTTGGCTTGATGAAAGTGGGAAAAGGTTGATGCACTGGCCAATTGAAGAGGTAGAAAAACTACGTGACAAACAAATTAGCATAATGGGAGAGAAACTGGTTGGTGGAACAATTCTTGAAGTCTCAGGTATCACTGCATCACAGGTAAGTAAACTAGTGTTGTATTTTCTCATACATATATATATATATATATATATATATATATATATTATGTATTTTAAAACCAAATAATGTTTTTTTAAAACTTAACTTTGAAGGCCGATGTAGAAGTGTTATTTGAACTACCAGAACTAGAGAATGCAGAGTGGCTAGATGAAAGTGAAGTTGATCCCCACTTGCTGTGTAGTGAAGAATATGCATCTAGAAGTGGCATAATAGGGCCATTTGGTTTGTTAGCTTTAGCATCAGAGGACCAAGCAGAACACACTGCAATCTTCTTCAGAATATATAGAGCTCCCAATAGATATGTATGCTTCATGTGTAGCGACCAGAGCAAGTTAGTTCTAATATTCTTCCAAACTGATTTGTAAATTATGGTGCATAATTTGGCTTCTCATTTAGATTTTCCTCCACTAGTGATATCAATGTTGTGTACATTTCACAGGTCTTCATTGCGACAGGACCTTGATAAAACAACATATGGAACCATCTTTGACATAGATCCTAATCTCAAAACGATTTCACTTAGAAGCTTGGTATGCTTATTGCTAATGAAAAATATTATCTTTAATGTTTTATCATGTGCTTGATAGTTTGATATATTTAGTTTCATATATATTATATGCAGATTGATCGCTCCATTATTGAGAGTTTTGGGGAGAAAGGGAGAATTTGTATAACTGCTAGAGTTTATCCATCATTGGCCATAGACAAAGATGCACATCTTTATGTATTCAACAACGGAAGCAAGAGTGTGGTGATTTCAGAACTGAATGCTTGGAGCATGAAGCAAGCAGAATTTGTTCAAGAGGAAAGCATAAATAAACTGTAGCTAGCTAAGAAAAGAAGGATTTGGATAATCATGAACATTTGATCTAGATACTTTATATTGTGTGTGATATTCACTCCTTGTGATTGTTTCATATGAAAAATAAAAATTAAAATAAATTACTAAACCCATTACATTGGACTTTTTGACTGAAATAAATTAAAAAAAAATTAAAATACATAAAATAAATTAAAAAAAAATTAATTACTAAAGTAGGTGATTTTTGACACAAGAAGACATAACATAAAAAAACGCGGAAAAGGGTGGTTTGTAGATGGTCCCTCCCCCATTCGTTTTCCATTACTGACGTGGCATGTGGCCTGGATTTGAAGATGGTGCCTTAACCCCCGAGCCTTCTTCAATGCTACAGAAAACCCCTCCGCCATGCGCCTCCTTTAATCTGACAGCGTGGCAAAAGATGACGCCTCCATAGCTGGCGCCATCAATTTACACCGCTTGTGAAACGTACACAATACTTAAATGCGAAACTCTGTTCAATATTCCTTTCTCTCTCTTTCTCTTAATTTCAAATTTTCTGCTAAGTTAAATTGGAGTTTTTTTTTCTTCTTTTAAATGGTTAACATCAAGGTTTTTGAATTCGTAGCCGCATTGCGTCCCGTTCGCAATTGTGGCTGCATTTGTCTGTGATTTCGACCATAATTTAAAACCTTCAAACGAACCTTGATCTATCTACCAATGGTGTTGTTTGATTTATAATTTCGATGCGGCTTTAATTTCGGAAATTCGTTTTTTTATTTTTATTTAAGCACATCCTTTTGACAATAACCATATATACTTTTTACTTTTTTTCTTTCTCTACTTGTGTTTTATTTATTTATTCAAGCTTTTGGAGGTGTTGATTTTATTGGAAGCTTTTTAGAT